AATCACCGATCAGGTCCCAACCGAGAAGTCACCTACGCGGTTTTGTTTTGGGTTATGCCAGCGATTTTCTTAACGCGGCAATTTTCCGAATACAAGTGAAATGCGATACAGTAGCTTTTTCTGCAATGGAGATCATAACAAACTATTGAAACAACGCGTTGGGCGACGACGGCATGTTCATGACGTTCGACGTAACTTCCTTGTGCCCGAGCATATTCATGTTCGACGAAACCGGTGGGGTTCTCAGCGTGCTCGTCTATAATCAAAACGTACTTCATTGAGGAGAGACCGAAGCGGCATTCGGTAATTTAAGCTCTTGAAGCTGATCCTGAATGGCCCAGTTGTGCAAGCCGCCTTGGTTGCCGGATGCTTCGAACAGAGGGATGGGCTCACGACTGGACGAAGTTGTGCAAGCACTGTTGCTAACATCTGCCTCGCTGAAAGCTTTGATCGCTAGCTGCATGGGCGGATCCACACAGGCAAATACAAGAGATACATCGACGACGGGTCTGGTATAGTGAGAATCGCACGGGCAACTGAACTGTTCGAAGCTTTGAGCGGCCGGCGGCCCAGGGCCCGTGTGAAACGATCAGACGCTGCATTGGGTGAAACAGGACAAATTCTCGATGTGAGGTTGCACAGAAGGCGAACACATAGCCGTGCACGTAACAACACATCACAGATATGTGAGCATCTACGGCTACAGTCCTCCCTCTTCCGAACGTCACCCCTCCATCTTCGCCAAACTGATCAAAGCGTGCTGCACTGGTTGATGCTGAGAAATACGTACAAATACGCAGGCTGACGATTTCAACACGCAAGTTTTGTATTTCATGCAGAGCCTCAAAGCGCTGGGCTACAACATGAGGCGAGTAAGCCTGATAGTAAGTAGTTTTGAATTCGATCACCGGCGGACTGCGATCGCCAACATGTCCAATAGAGGCAGCAGCAGCTGTAGGAAAAAACGACGGCTTCGGTGTACGTTCACTTACGCCCAGGGCTTGGAGAAAATCCATCCCCCGATGGCTTTTCGAAAAGCAGCCCAAATCTTGTCTGCCGGCTTGTGGGGCCCAGCGAGAATCCGCCCAAGGTTCGGGGTAGGCAGGAATATTGTCAGACTTCTGTATAGGCATACGTGGCAGGATAAGATGTTCGGGTGCCTTATTCTTTATGGCAACCCGTAGCCTTAAAAAACGTGTGTTCCATCTGAGTAATGTGGAGGGGGCAGGATTTGTCCGCCCCCAGTCTTGAACATCGAATGGTAAAATCGATCATCATGTGAAGATCGGCCAGAATTCCGTTTCTGGCAGGATAGCTGCATACGCATTTCGCACAAACGGGGGGGGGGGGGGGCGCAGCATCGCTTCCCCGCCTCCGCAGCCATTCGCCGCAGAGATGCCAGAAGGCCGTGCTAGCAGCACGCTGCGCACTGCACACCAGCGTTGACTCTGAGAAAAAAGTCAGAGCGTGTAGAAACAGATTCACCTCGATTCCGCACCGCACCAGTTGCAGCATTCGTTCTCGAGGCCCCGACGGCTCTCCCACACAATCGTGCTGACACGCGCGGAGGCGGTGCCGGATCCAAGGGCGGCTTCCAGACGGCGCTCCAGCTTTCGACACACGGCCTGGCCAATCCACTCGGTGGGCAGGTTGTGGAACTGAAGAGCCAGATAGCGAGCCTGCAACGAGTGACGGGCCAGAGCCTTGGACAACTCGCAAGCTCAACCCAGGCTCACCACGGCGCCCTGCGAGAAGCCACAGACGCGGGACGCGACCGCCGAGAAGCGGCCCCCGCGCCGCAAGGAGACATGACTGAGGACCAGCTCGGGGACTACATCGGCGACCCCGACGGGATACTCAAAATCCTGGACGGTGGCAACCAAAACATAATTTTGGAACATCGTGGGAAACTCCAGAAGCGAGCCGGAATACCAAACGAGCATAAAACCAACTGGGATATCCGGAAGCTCGTTTCAGCGACGAGGCGAAAGCGCAGTGGCAGTGGCCAAAACAATGCGTAGTAATGGCCAGGCCTACTGACTTTGCGCCCGAACATGCAGGCGGGCTCGCGACTGGGGGGAGCCCTTCGTCGCTGTCTCCGTCGCCCTTGCTTTGTTACTGTTGCTCCGCCTGGCGGGGCCCTGCCCTGTTTGTTCGGTGAGTGCACCAAGCGTTCGCGCGATTCAGGGCCCTTTCCTCCTTTTCAGGCCGACATCTGTCGGGTTGGGAGGATGGGGCTGGGAGAAGTGAGGATAGCCCTACCCGTAGGCGGCGGCCGAAAGTATCCTTCATTGCATCGGGATGCTATTGCTCATGCCCTTCATCCTCCCAATCCCTTCCTCCCGATACGAAAACTGCTCTCCCCACCATTTCTCTTCGACAGGCGCCCTTCGCCTGTCAGAGAGTGGCAGTGGCAGCGGCCCGCTGTCTCAGCGGGCGAAGAACGGTATAACATAACTTTCCGCCGTCGGGGACACCTGCCCCTGGGCGGCTGGAAAGTTGATACCCCCACGGTGCCACCGTAAGGGTATAAACTTTCCGGCCGCCCTGGGACAGGCGCCCCCGACAGCGAAAAAGTATATTTTACAACGTTATTCGCCCGTTGACTGTCGGAGAGTTTGATGGATTGCAAAAAAACCAAGGATTGCAAAAAAACCAAGGATTGCAAAAAAACCTGGATTGCAAAAAAACCTGGGATTGCAAAAAAACAGGGTTTTTTTGCAATCCAGGTTTTTTGTTGCAATCCTTCGGTTTTTTTTTGCAATCGATCGGACGAAGGCCCCCCCCGCCCACTCGTGCGAGTCGAGCCCGCCGGCATGGCCGGGCAGCGCGCAGGTCGGGCTCGGGGGGGCGCTCGCTCTGCCGCCGCGCCCTGCTCCTCCGTCCTCCATCGTCCTCCTCCGCCCTACCCCTTCTCCTCCTCCTCCTCCTCCTCCTCCTCCTCCTCCTCCTCCTCCTCCTCCTCTGGCTGCGCAAGCTCGGCGCCGAGCTCATCCTCCTCCTCCTCTTCTCCTCCTCCCTCCTTGCCCTCCCATCTCCTCCTCCTCCTCCTCCTCCTTCCTCCCTCCTCTTCCCTATTCCCTCTTCCTCTTCCCTCCTCCTCCTCCTTCCTCCTCCATCCTCCTCCTCCTCCCTCCTTCCTTCCTTCCGCAGCGCCTTCGGGTGTTCCCACACGCCGCCGCCCTCGCACGCGCGCACCGCGCGCGGGCCGATGGGGGGAGGCGCGCCGAGCCCTCGCCGGATCTCGGCCCTTCCAGAGGATGGGCAGGGGGGAGGACCTCCTCCTCCTCCTCCTCCTCCTCCTCCTCCTCCTCTCCTCCCGCCTCCTCCTCCGCCTCCTCCTCCTCCTCCTCCTCCCCTCCTCCTCCTCCTCCTCCTCTCCTCCTCCTCCCTCCTCCCTCCTCCTCCCTCTCCTCCTCCTCCTCCTCCTCCTCCTCCTCCTCCTCCTCCTCCCGCCTCCCTCCTCCTCCTCCGGCCGCCGTCCGGCCCAGGACATCGGGTGCGGTTCTCGCGGAGCCGCGAGCCTCTCCGGACGTCGGCAACGCGCAGGCCCCCGCGCGCGCGCTGGCGATGGCGGCGACCTGCCGTGCCCCGCGCGCGCCTCCGGGCCCCCGCGGGCCCAGCCACGGCGCGCGGCCGCCGGGCTCTCAGGCCTCCTGGGCCTGCCTGGCACCGCAGGGCTCGCTCGGCCCGGAGCCAGGCGAGGACTCGGCCTCGTGTTCGATCGGCAGTGCGTCTTCTTCGGTGTCAGCGGTCTTCCATGAAGGGCCCGCCTGGGGCGAGATCCACGTCCCGCGGGCGTCGTGTTGCCAAGGCTCGCGGGGAAGGGTTCTGCCCCAAGTGCGGCGCTCACAACACTGGCCGCTGGTGCAGTGTATGCTGGCCGTCCTCACCTTCCTCTGGCATGGGATCCTCCCAGTCTGTGCCCGAGGGCCCCCAGCAGTCGCCCAAGCAGTCTGGTCCGAGCCCCAGCACGGCGGATCAGCAGCAGCCTCGTGGTGCTTCCAGGCCGCTGACGGCAAGTGCTACTACCCCTCCTGCTCCTCCTCCTCCTCCTCCTTTTCCCCCTCCTCCTCCTTCTCCCTCTGATCGATCCCCCTCCTTCTCCTCCTCCTCGTCCTCCTCCTCCTCCTGCTCCTTCTCCTCCCTCTCCTCCTCCTCCTCCTCCTCCTCCCACTCATCCCCCTTCCGATCAGGATCGCCCCCATGGAGGTGGCCAAGGCGCACCCGGTTTGGGTGGACCCTCCTGCTGCCACGGCAGAGAGGGCCAAGCACCGTGCTGCTCTGGAGGAGGCCGTCAGTGCGCAGGAGAGGCGCATCGAGGCGCCGAAGGCCCTGAAGGCCGGGAGTCCACAGTTGGCTCCTTTGGGGCTAGAGCTGAGCGTGTTGCTATTCATGTACTTGTACGCGTTCCCCACCGATGAGAGGGCCTCGAACCAGCGCTCGCACGTCGAGCGTGCGGAGCGCCGCCTGGAGCAGGCCGAGGCCGAGGAGAAGAAGGCGGCAGCAGCCTTGCAGTCTGCCACGGTGCACCGGCAGTCGCTCGAGTCCGACTTGAAGCAGGCCAGAGAGGCCTTGACCAAGTTCGAGGAGTTGGCCGAGCGGGAGCTGAAGCAGGTGGCCTTCGCGGAATCCTCGGAGGCGCCGCCGTTCGTGCACGCTGGCGATTCGCCGCTCCGCCAGGCCCAGCCGCCCGATGTTGCTCCAGTCTCGCCTGCCCTGCCGCAGGTCACTGCGGCCTTGCAGGCTTCTCAGACCGCCCTCGCTACCAACCTCTCCACGCTGGCGTCCACCATGCAGGAGATCCAAGGCAGCCTGACTTCCTCCTCCTCCTCCTCCTCCTCCTCCTCGCCCTCCTCCTCCTCCTCCTCCTCCTCCTCCTCCTCCTCCTTCCCCCCTCCTCCTCCTCCTCCTCCTCCTCCTCCTCCTCCTCCTCCTCCTCCTCCTCCTCCTCCTCCCTTCGTCCTCCTCCTCCCCCCCCATTCCTCCTCCTCGCTCGCCTGTCCGTGCACCACTCTGACAGGGTAGGCCGAGGAGTTCGACGCCGTGGTCTGCCACGACAGCGGCGCACTCAGGAACCCGTTCATCGGTCCGGAGACTGGCGGGCCTGGGCGATGCGAGCGAACGCGAGCAGGGCGCCAGGGGGACAGAGGAGAAGGAGGAGAAGGTGGAAACGTACATAATAACAATAAAAACAACAATAATAATAACAAGAAGAATAAGAGGAATACTAATAATTATAATAATAATGATAATCTGAAGTCGCGACATTGCGCTGCAGGTCTGATGTCTCATGCCTCCTGCTGCTGATTATACAAATTTATAACGAAGCACCTTCAGACTCTGCTTGCCCGCCTCGCTGGCCTGCGGCTGGCACTTATCACAAGGCAGAACGGGCTTACTCTCACATGAAATATATCTCTGTAGACCGTCAGGCCTACAAAACAGTACACCTCTGTACACGCCGTTCATTTCTACTCGTGCTCATTGCTAACTGTGATCGTTTCTAATCGTTCCTGGCCCCCTGGTGGCCAGGAAGAGGCCCAGGACAGAAGAACTGGAAATGAGAAGAGCGTGCCCCCCCCGAAAGAATCAAAGAACTTCCGTTTTGTTTATATATATATGTATATATAGATATATGTATATGTTGTTTTAAGTGCTATTGTTTCTTTATTGTGATTCGAGTACTTAGAAATACTTAGAAATGAACCATGGGTACGGCTCTGTAGACCATCGGGTCCTGGGAGGCATCGCACAACAAGGACGCTGGGGCGAGTGCCGTCGGACCACGCAGGGGGTACCGCGTCTTGCCCTTAGCACCCGCGGGGGCCACGACGTCGGGGCCCCGGCAGGCCCCTGGCCAAAACTTCTCCCAGCGCCCCTCAAAGCAGGAGGCCATTTTCGGCGGCGGGCGAGGGGGGGGAAGTGAGAAGGAGAAGGCCTTCTCAGAAGGCGGCGGGACTTCTCAGAAGCCCCCGCGCCTTCCGAGAAATGTTTTCTGTCTTCGGGGAGAACTTCGAAAACTTCTCAGAAGGCCGGGGGACTTCCGAGCCTTCTGAGAAGGCCCGCCCTCCTCACTTCCCCCCCTCGCTCGCCGCCGATTCAAAGCAGGAGACCATTTGAGACACGCGGCGCATGTAAAGATGACGCCACGCTGTACAACGGAGCGCCCCTGGCCAGCAAGCCGTTCTCGCCTTATTGCGCTACTACAGGTACGAGCCTTCTCTTTTTCCCTTTCCGCGGCCCATGCTATCTTCGCGCACGCGACCACACGTCAACGACACATGGCGACTGATAGCTACGAGCCGCTTGGGCACGAGAGAGCAACGCAAATCAGCACGCTCCACCTCGCTAGTTGAATCACACCGTGGAGCCCCCCAGTCGGTAACCGCCCCAACAAAAACATCCGCGACACTGTTTGCCGCGAGCCCGTGGGGTGTGAGACCGCGGCCACTTATCTGCTGCCGCGTGGGAGGGCCTTTGGCTCAGGTGCAATTTACATCTCCAGGCCTGTCTCGAAAATGATCCCATACTTGCTGCCAAAGGACGAACATGTTGAACGAGTCTGCTCTAGCAACTGGTCGTTTGAACGCACCCACAAAAGGCATATTATCACATGAGCACTCACATTGGCAGTGGTATACATAGCAAGGCTACAGCTATCAGAAAGTTCAGCACGGGAATAGCTCTGGATACCGAGGCTCACGGCTTTAAGGGCACCACAAAAAGGGCCCCTCGCACATCTGCGGGGCCGGCACTCACATGCACCACGGCCCATCCACACCTCCAAAGCCTCCACTCTAGAGCATGCTTCCCACCAGAACCATCAACGCCGAACGCTCCACCAGTGATGTTCTTGCCACTGCGGATGGCGCCCGGGCAGAAATCCCAAGGCCAGACACGACCAGAGGCAGGCGGGCCATCGCCGGTGGCCCACCCTCGAGCAGCAAGGCCACGGGCCCAGAAACGTTCCGCATCTTCGGGGCCCGCGCCTGCAAGAGCATTTTTGGTGGCCTCAGTAGCGGGGCCATCGAACTCGGCGCTAGCACTGCAGACCCCAGAACCCACGGATGGGCGTTTCCTCTGCAACCCCGCGCCGAGGGCAGGGGCCACGACTACCGCGGCCCGGGTCCTGGAGACGCGCTTCAGGCGACTGGCCTCAATCAACTAGGTCATTGATTAATTAATGCCGCGCCTGCAGTGTCGCCCTGCTTCAACAAGTCCACTCTGGCAACGCCGCGGTTCGACTGCATGCCAGGATCACAACATAACATGTCCTCTGTCCGCTTTCAACCCATAGGGCCCAAGGGACTCAGGGGGCCCTCTCAAATTCAGGATGGCGACGATGACGGACGCAATATGGCCGCGAACACGACGCCATCTGCAATTGGGTGCAACCCCGCGGAAACGTTCAAACAAGGTGCCACAAACTCAGTCCACATTCATTTTTTGTTTACCATCCAGAACCTTCGAAGTTCGGCCTCGCTCTTGCAGATGCCCGCGCCGCAGGCGGCATCGTGCATCTTTGCTCATGAGGCGATCGACCGCCATCGCAGTGGCAGAGCGGCAGCCAGAAAACCATCGGCCAGACGCCTCAGCTGCCTGCCCCCGTAGCTGTTGAACAACCGACGGGGGCGATCCACTCGCCCAGTAATTCCATGCGCCGACGGCATAGGCAGTCGTTTTGAAAAGACGTCCGTGCTTCTCGTCGGGGGCGAGAGATGAAAATGCTTTCGCCCGTCTAGCCCGCTCTCTTTTGCGTTGCTGCATCTTCCGCGTCGCCTTCCACCCCCCTCTCCGCCGCGGCCCCGGCGCTCAGGCACTTCGCGGCGTCCACAATTTTGACGAGGATATTCGCACGGGCGAAAAAGTCTCTCAGCCGCGCGACCAACTTCGGCAGGGGATGTCACCGGTCAGGACTTGGTAGAGCTAGAACAGCCTCTCTGCACGAACTCAGCATGCAGCTCAATAGCCGCAAGCACAAGACGCCGAGCAATCTCTTCTGCACCACCTTGAAGAGACTGGGCCAGGTCGTCAACGCAAGCGCAGATAGGCACATGGCGAGTACGTGCATGGGCATTCTCAAATCATACACATAAGGTTTAATCCACGGGGAAGGCTGAGAGCGACGGGCGAAGACACTCTGCCCAGCATGCACGAGGCGCGAGACCGCAGACTCCACCTCGAGTATCCTCGGGGCGGCGTGGATCAGGAGGCCCAGGTGAAGTAGCACGCGAGAGTAGTCCACGCCACATGCCAATCGCAAAAGCTTGGAAAGGGGTCAACGGAATCAGACAACTTGTCCACATCCCAACGGGCAGAAATGGACGCCTGGCCTCCTTCGCAGGCCAACCCACGCGCGACCTCGCGGATCATGGCGGTCGCGAGGGCCGACGAGTTTTTCGCGGCCGTGCCCCGAAAAGCCAGGCTTGAAACGGTCCACTCGAAAGTCGCACCCCCCCCGAATCTGGGCGCGCGCGCAGCGCGGGGCGGGGCGCGCGGCGATTGGCCTCTCTGAGGCCGCCGTTTTAGGGGGGAGAGCGGCCCGTCAGAGGTGGGCCTAAATTGAAAACGTCAGAGTGGACTCGATAACATCGAGCACATCGACAAGGCACCGCGCGGCCTCCATCGGCAGCATGGCGGAGTCACGCGGCGACCAGCCGTCGACTCCAAACCCAGCGTCGACGGCAAAAACCTTGGAGACACGGCATTCACCAGCAAGTTCAATGGGGGGCAAACCCAAGGCCTCGTCGGCCGCTGCGCCACGGCCTTGCCCTCAACCAGAACAAAAACCGGAGCGCTGGATGGGGTCGGCCACTTCTCTCAAAACACCTCCCTCGCCTGCGTCATGTCACCGGGGGGTTGCATGGTCTAGGCCTTGTCGAACAGATGCTCGGCTTCTTGTTTGGGGTCGCATTCCAGCCATCGATGAATCGTTTTCGTGCCGCCTCTCAGCCCATTAGGCAGCCAGCGCGTCAGGATGGCCTGGCCAGATTCTTGAACCCGCCCCCGCGCGCGACGGAGGATGAGCCGCAATCCTTCCCGGAACCAATGCAGGCAGACGATCTTCCCGGGCCTGGTAAGCAAACTATGTGGTCTAACCGGTGCCATGCAAATTGATGTGATCCGCATCCGCGCATGACCAAAAATACTCCTGCGAACACCCCACCCACCCACCCGCGACTTATCCGCACACTCCACCAGGGCGACGACAGCGACGAATTGGGATGGCGATGATGATGCTCATAACGACGATGGAGACGATGCCCACGACGATGATGGTGATAGTGATGAGTATGATGGTGATGATAATGACGGTGGTAACGGTGTCGCTGGCGACGATGGTGCTGATAAGGATGCTGAGGAGGTTGGCGGCGGCGGTAATGATGATGACGACGACTATGGTAATGTTGGTGGTGATGGTGGTGACTGTGATGGTGATGGTGACGATGGGAATGATGATGATGACCTTGATGATGCAAATTGTGCGGATGAGGATGACGAGGAAGTGCGCGCCCGCAAACTTTACGTCGGGCATCTTGCTACTTAAAAAATCAATTCGCGTTCGTATCCTTCGAGCATATACGTGCTGAAACGTTTGACCACAAGGCTGGTTGCTTGGGGGGCCTCGACGTGCGAGCGTAGAGACGCGCGCGTGTGGCCGCGTGTGGCCGATATCGTGTTACTTGCCAGGATGTGAAGGCGCGCGACGGGGGGCGAACAGTTTCGACGCGTGCGCGCGCGTGTGGTCCGCATGCTGATTCATCGATCGACGTGCCGGCCCCAGCGAGTGCTCGCGCGCACCGCGTTCGCACAGCGTTTTGTTGGAAGGGGCGACTTTTTGTTTTTTCTTTCTTTTTTTTTTTCGCAGCTCCCAGAGCAATGCTTTTGCACTTGGAGAGCTCGACTCGTCCTCGCTAGCGCGCTGGCTGGGATTGCCACATGTTCGCCAGGTTGGCGCCTGTGCCCGCCCCGCGCGCGCCCCGTGGGCGCTCCGTGCGCTTGGGCGGGACAGCTTGCACCACGTAGGCTGCACGACACGGCGTGCGGCGCGTAGTTCGCACCACGTAACTCCCACAGCATGGCTTGCAATACTCATCTTGCACC